CTTCTTGCTCGAAGGCAGCGCGGGCTGGAGCAGCGGGGAGCCGGCTCGGTGCTGAGTTAGCTCTGCCCTGGTCGGCTGGTTTCTACTTCTGCTGCTCTCAGATGGGCTGGGAGTGCCATTAGGTGCTAGAAAAAAAACCCCCACAAAGACAACAAACTGAACACCCGAGAATAAAACCAACCAACATCAAACCAACAACAAAATAACAAAACGAAACAACCAACAAGCACTCAAGCTTCTGAAAGCAGCTGGGAGGCCTGACTGTATTCCCCCCCCAGTTCCTTCCTCTAAACTGGGAGCTGGGTGGATTGTGGGGCACCTGCCCCAATAGCCAGGGAGAGGATAGAGAGGTGCTGAAAAGGAGGAGAAGAAGGAGGGAAGCACTTTAATCAGAGCTCAGGCAGGCTCAGGGCTCCCGAGTATGAGGGAATATCAGAAGCAGCGGGGAAACCAGAGGGATTTCTGCAAGCTGGGTGGTGGAAGCTTTCAAATCAGTTAATTTCAAATAAATCAATAGTGAGCACTGGCAGATTGGTTGTGTATTGGCTAGGGCCAGGGAGGTGTTTTGGTTGTTTATCTGTGATCATTTTGGGGGTCCTTGATGTGGTTTGATCTGATGCCAAAGGAAGAGCCCCTCCAGGTGCAGGCAGTCCTCTTGGAACTGGGCAGGGCTCAAGGAGTGACCCCAGGGTCCCCATACTCTTCAAAAAAGGAGACACAGGCTTAAATTTGGTGTACGTTCATGTTGGGGGGGGGGTTGGAAGCTCCTGCAAAGTCTGCCAAGATGTGAGATGTGTTTTTTGGAGGGCTGCATAAACCCTTACTGCAGAGGTGAGGGGGACCTGCCAGCCCCTCACCTTCCCTCCCCAAAGGAGGGACTCGCAAAAGCGGTGAGAGCTTCTCTGGGGAGCCCCTCAAGCCACCACGGAGTTTGGGTTGTCATTGTTGTCATTCCTCTTCCCTGCTTCTGGGACACAGGCCTGATACTGCCTGTGGGGTGGGGACAGGGTCAGGTCCCACCAAACTGTCCCCAGCCTGTGTCAGGGATGTCACTCGGCTGTGGCCTTGGGCCCTTGCTTGGGCATCCTGAGCTTGGAGAGGACTGGCAGGGCCTGGAATGACTGGATCTCTTGGGGGGGCTGGGTTATTTTGCAGGGGGGCTTTTCCCAGCACCTTTAACCTCTGCTTTCCCTAAGTGAACTATGTGCTCTCTTGTTTCCAGAAGGCAGGGAGTGTGTAAATTGTGGGGCTACCTCAACCCCTCTGTGGAGAAGAGATGGCACCGGGCACTATTTGTGTAACGCCTGTGGACTCTATCACAAAATGAATGGGCAGAACCGGCCCCTGATCAAACCCAAGAGAAGGCTGGTGAGTCTCCTTTTTTTATTCTTTCTTTTCCTTGCTCTGTGACTTTTGCTCCTTGTTCGCAGCCTGGAATGGAGAGGGGAAGCTCAGCCAGCTCCAAAATCTGGTCCCACTGCGTCAGAGTGCTGAGAAGGGGGGATGTTTGGAAAGGTGCTCCCAGCTGCTGTGGGCCTCAATTGTCTGGTCCTCTTGCAAAATCCAAAACAGGTTAAAAAAGTCAAGATTCAAGGCTTCTTGCAAAGCAGAACTGAGTTTTCTCCCAGTTCTCAGTGGGGCAGATGCCTCTGTGCAGTGCTTCTAGATGGTGACCCAAGGAAGGTGGCTTTTTCCAGGGAACAAGGGTAGAGTAATAATTTCCTAGTGACCAAAGAGATTATCAGGAGAGCAGGATTTCTCCTGGGTTCTCTGCACTGCTGTCTTCCCCTCTCCAAGTGTGTTGTCACCCCCCTTGGCTGGCTGTGTTATAAGAGAGGGAACCCAAGCTGGGTGCTGGTCACCATAGCTGCTGCCACTGGGGCATCAGTTGGACCTTGGTCCTGCAAAACATTTGACTGGGGGTTCTGGTGCCATTTTAACCTGGTGTGGTCATTTGCACCTGGGCCATGTGAGTCTTGAAGGGTGTCATTCCTCTCTGAGTTGGTGCAACACCAAGTAGGTGATGGCAAAGCCCAGTGAGTGTGCAAAGCTGAGCAGGTGCCCAAGGCCACAGAAGTTGGAGGAAGGGTAAAAAAGGTGAGGGTAAATATTTAAAATAATAGTTGCAAGCCTCATGACTGTAGTAAGCATAGACAATACCTTACAGCATCCTCAGCAATCTATTTATGAATTTCCCTGAAAGCCACAAAAAGGTCTGGAAGCTGTGGGCATGGCTAATACATGCGTTGAAGCCTATTTGGCAGGTAATCAGGCAAACCACAAGGGGAAAAAATATCGGGGGGAGGGGGAGGGAAATGTTCCCTGCTTGGGTAGTTATCAAATGTTTCAAATTGAGGCACGTTTGGTTTCCTTAGGATTAAAGATGTGGATGGGCTTTTGGGGGCTGCTCGAGACCTGGAGGAAAAGTGACTCTCCATGGAGTTTCTGAGCTGATGGATCTGGCCGGTTGGGTGAGGCTGATGCCTGGTGTGGCTGGATCCTGCAGGCAGGAGAGGGGTGATTCATTGGCCTCATGTTCCCTGTGAAGGTGCTCATGGCCTTGGTCTGACAACTCTTAGGCACAGACTCAGCTTCCTCACCTGTGAGATGCCTGCAAAATTGGACCAGGGCTATTCCCATGGGCGTTGAGAAGTGTTTGCAGGATACGTCCCCAGGAAGGGTTCGGCTGCGGTGTCGGCTCTTCCTGGCCGTGTGGGTTTTGGGGAACATGCAGGTTTGCTCCTCTACCCCCAAACTTCCCGTGGGCAAAGCGCAGCCTGAGGCAGGATTGCTCCCTGCCTTCATATATGGGCTTTTCCCACACAGGAAAATGTTGGTTTCCCTCATCTTTCATAGCCTTGTTAGAAAAAAGGAAAAGCTTTCTAGGGAGGGAAGTACAGGCTGGGATTTTAATTTTTTTGGGCAGCTCTCTTGTTCTTTTCTCCTCCTCCCCCCTTGGCCTTTCTGTCTTAAACACACACACCTCGTTTTCTTTTTTATTCCCCCCAACCCCCCCTTCTCTCTTTATGTGTAAAGTTAACTTCCTAGGAAAAAGCTGCCGGATATCTGAGCCCTGGAGATAACTCCTAAACAACAGCTCCGCTTCCCCAGCCCAAACACACAGGAGCTTGAGCATATCCAAACAAGCAGAGGGGGAGGTGGAATAGGAAAGCGGCTGGAAAAGGGGGGGAGAGCTTTCAAAATGTGTCTGATGGAACCATGAAAGAATGTCCCGAGTCACCCTCAGCCCGGCACATGTAAAATGAACTATATAAATAAATACATTGTAAAAGGTCATTCTCAGGGAAAGAAAAAACAGGAGAAAGAAAAAAAAGCAAAGAGGGACCTTGTCTTGCATAATCACTTCAATCTTGGGTATTTTAGTTAAAGTCTGAGTTAAAAAAAGTTCCCGTTCTTTGAACGAGGCCTTTGCTAAATGGGAACTTTTGAATTTTTCTATAGATTTTTTTTCCAGCGTTGCCTGGGGAAAAAAATAAAAAAGAGAAACATTTCTAATCCTGTTTGGATCTATATTTATTTCCCTTGCTAACCTCCAAAAAAAAAAATAAAATCAGAAGGCCCCAACGCTGGGTTTGCCTGTTGTGTGCGGAGGTGTAGCTGTGAGTGTGTCTGACTTGACTTGATCTTTTCTGCCCTGTGGAGGCGAGTGGGCTGGGGAAGGCAGCGTGTGGATGGAAGCTCAGGGTGGGGATCCAGAGTCTCCTTCTGCCACAAGATTCCTGTGTGACCTTGGGCTGGTTTTGTAGGCTCTGATCCCAGGTGCTCCGAAACTGATGAAAGGACTCTGATGGGTTGGAGAGAGAAGGCAAATGAATGCTTAGATGCTGAGAACACAGCCCAAGTCCTAATAAATTTGATGGGAGTCTTTGTAAGGGCTTTATTTAGGGGAGATGGATGGAGCTTTTCCTGTTGAGGAAATGTGTTCCTGTTGAGGGGGACTCAGACAGCTGTGCTTTTGGGGGGAAGGTAGACTATCTGGAGATGTTGGCAGTGGGGTCAGGAACAGGCAGGTGGGACCACACCACTGCTCTGCTTAAAAGGTCTACAGCCTTCTTGGAGACTGTTCCTGTCCCCATTGAAGCCAGTGGCAGCCCCATCACTGCTGTTGCTGTGATGAAACCTTCCTTTGGATTTTCTTCCTCTCCCTGCCCATATGGATGCAGAGCTTTTGGTTTCCGTGTCCAGCCGTTTGGGAAGGATTACAGCTAATTTCTCAGAAGGCCCACGCATGTGCAGTTTGATTTTAGGAAGCTTACAGCTTTGGGGGTACCCCATGTAGTCCAAACACCAAAAACGCCCCTTAATTAAGCATCTTTATCAGCACTCAGTCCCTCTTTTGGCACCATCCTCAATTCCTCCTCATCGCCACCACCGGCACTTCTGAAGTTGTGCCCTCGCTCACATGCAATCAGGCCGTGGGGTCTGGTCCTACAGATGACATGAGGCACCTTATTAGTCATCCCATTACTTACATGGCCAGGCTCAGGTTGGTGATTAGCGTCGGTGGATGCCATTGCTGGGAGCTTTTACAATAGCGTTATTATTCATTGTTTCCTGCCCATGGCCGGTGTCTCTGGTAGAAGTTGGTAGATCATAAAAGGTACCATCTGGGACTGAAAGAGCGCGGAGTTTAAAATACTCAGCTAACGAGGCCGAATTCTTGTAGAGGAAACACAGCAGATGGAAAAGGATTTAGAGGAGAAAGTGGATGTTGTGATTTATTCATTTAGTCAGTTTGTTTGAAGGCAGCGAGGTGAGGACGCACTTGCTGTAAGAGAAATTACAGCGAGCGCCCTGTAGAAACCCCAAATATCTTCAAAGAGGATGTTTCCCCTGTGTGGGCTGAGTCAAATATCACTGGTTTTTAGAAATTTCTTTAGGCTTGATTTTTGGGTCTGATAAGGGCAAAGCTATCACTGAGAGACTCAATGCAGGCTCTGAGCTGCCTGTGCTGGCGGGTGGGACCCAGGAGGGCAGAGGCCCCTGGATCTTGGGGACAACCTGGGTCTGCAAGCTGTTGTGTTGGTGCTGCTCTAGAAGCACATGTATTAACCCAGTGATTTTGAAGGGAACCAAGTCTGGGACCATGGCATGGTTCAGAGGAGGAAAAGGCCGAGGCGTGTGTGCGCGTATCTGCTCGGGACTCTGCTGTTTGTGGTGGGAGGCCTCAGCTTCTCCTGCTGGTGCCGGGATTTTTGCAGCCGAAGACCCGCGTGCCATTCCCAGCTCTTGCTGTAGTCAGCACGGAGAAGTTCAGCTGGAGGCCTCCTCAGGCTGGAGATCAGCTCACTTCAGTTTGGTTTATGGTCAAGCAAAATGAAACTGCCCCCACGGGCAGCGGGTGAGAGCCCCTTGCATCAGCTCAGACGTTCTGCGATGCTTCCTAACGATCATGGGCAGCCTCTTGTTTATTTTTTAGACCGTCCTTTTTGCCTAATTAAAAGGGAAAAAAAAAAAAGAAGTAAAAAAAAAAGTCCTACTCTATCTAAAACAAAACCAACCCGTCCTCTCTCCACCTACGCCGCATTCAATTATGATTAAAATTGCAACATGACCTAACAAGAGTTGGTATTAACGCCAGCGCCGTGCCAGTGTCCATGTTTGCATTTTGGGTTTGTTGTACGGTATCCAAAGCTGTGGTATTTTTTCTTTATTTATATTTTTTTTTCCCCCAAATGTTGGATGTGCTACAGTGTGTGGCTGTGTGGGGTGAGGGGTAAATTTGAAACAGTAAGAGCACAAAAGAGAGCATTAAAGGCTCAGTTCTGCAAGGTGCCAAGCATTGCTATGATCTGGCAAATCGCTTGAGCACATGTTTTAACTTTAAGCACATGAGCAGTCCCATTGAAAGCAACGCATTGGGATGAAATCAGAGCTCTGGGACTGTGTCATATTGATGAAGAAGAGATAGGAAGGGGATCTAAAGGACTTTTTTTAGGAGCTGTAGGCACTTGCACACCCGCAAACATGCATATGCATTCACATAGGAGCCTGAAAACTCCTTTTCTTCCTTCAGTGGCAGAAGGACAATTTGTTTGCTAAAGTTACAGTTTTTAAATGATAAGCATGGATTCATGCATGTGAAAGAGAAGCAACTTTGCTAAATTTGGTTTCGCTAAGTCATTATCACAGCTAACAAAAAAGCTTCTGTATAAACCTTGACATGCAGACTTTTTTTCTTGTTCCTCCTTTATGAAATGGTAAATTCTCCTTTCAGGCTCATTACCAATCCTTAAATAAACATGAAGGTTTAGGCTGCAAAAGGGTGTAATTAAAAGTTGGGATTCTTGCTCTTTGCCACAGTGTTGTTTCCGATCTGGAGCCTGGATCCTTTGAAGCTGAGCTGAATTTCTGGGACCAGGCCGTGCCTGTGGTTGGAGCTGGGGAGCAGCTGCCCACCAAGCCCAGCACGGGTCTCACCCGGCGCTCGCTGGAGCCGCTGTGACTCACGCCGTTGACTCCAGCAAATGTTGGTTCAGGCCCTGACTGCAGAATTAGACCCCTGCGGGGGTCTGAGAGAATTAAGATGGAAAGACATGTTGGCATTTAAATGATATTTTCCCCTCTGGAATGGGCTGTGCCAGCGCTGCTAATTTTGATGACTTCTATCAGAGGTTTAGCACTCACTTTTAGGATGCCCTTTGGCACCTGATTCAGTTCCTATATAATTTGGGATTAAAGTACCTCGGGGATTTTTTTCACAATTATTATTTGTTCTCACAAGCCAGTTTCTGGAGGCCTCTGCCGATGTGCGTCAGTCTTGCAGGGTTGATGTTTTCCTTCTCAGCAGTTTTGCTGATTGCTTTTCTTTTTTTTTAAATATTTCTTTATTTTTTTTAACACCGCTGCTTTTTTTTCTCTCTCTACCTTCTCTTCCCCTGTCTCTCCCCCTCCTTCCCCTCAGTCTGCAGCCAGGAGGGCGGGCACGTCCTGCGCGAACTGTCAGACCACCACTACCACCCTGTGGAGGAGAAATGCCAACGGCGATCCCGTCTGTAACGCCTGCGGGCTCTACTACAAGCTGCACAATGTAAGTGTGACTGTAAATGTGTGACTGTAACTCTCAATAATAGCGAGGCCTCAGTTTCCATTGTCCAAACTCTTCCTTGATTGAAGTGTTTCCAGTCTCAGGTGGGGCTGAGACCTCCCCTTTGTCTCTTTGGTGACCTCGGGGGGTTGGAGCAATGGGTCGGCATCCCTTCAAACGTAGTTGATCCAACTTGGGGAGCTAGAAGACAGGGCTGACCATGGGTAACATTAGAGCTTTCCCATGCCTGAGCCATTAAAGGAGGGGTGGATCAACACAGAGACATTATCCACTGCTGATTAGGCTCAGTCTGTTGGAAAGACAGCATGCTGTCCTGCAAGCCCATACTCCTTCTATGTGTAACTTGGTTCCTCCAGCAAATGCAAACTCTGGAAAAAAAGCAACTATTTAGGGTTTGTGGCTGCTTTTGTGCTGTCCCTCCAGCCATCCCCAAAGATGATTTATTTAGGTCTTCTCTTTGCCCCAGTTGACGCAAGCGATTCCTAAACCAAAAAGGACTTGATTTAGTTAGTGGGTTGCAGAGTCTGCTCAACCTGTGATGTGAATTTTAAATGTCTGCCGTGGAAGGGAAGGAAAAATGAAATGAAATGGCTGGCAGATTTAATCTAGTATCTCCATGCAAAGCCAGCTTGCAGGAACCAGGGATATGTGCCCCAGGGATAGAGCTAAAGGGATCTGAAAAGTCTTCTACTGAATAATACTGCTAATAAGAGAGTCTTAAGGCTACTCCTGTTACTCTCATTCCACATGTGGCATTAGAATAATAATTATGTCAGAAGAGGGAAAGGACCTTCAATCTTTTTGCTTTGATAGAACTTTTTTTTTTTTTTCCTAGTGGTCACTTGCTTTATGTTTGACTTGGAAATCTTGGGCTATGTTTTGCCCTCATGTCCACCCACACAAACACATCAAAGACAGATCGGGTTTCATGGAGCACCCAGCCCTTGTGGTGTCTCGGTCCCTTCCATTTGTTATTTCAAGCTCTTTGGTTTTCTTGGGATGAGTAAACAAGTTTGGATTAAGTACAGAAAAAAACCCCAACGAAGCTAATTTTTCACCTGTTCTTTGAGAGGCATCTCTCTTGGAAAAAGGAGAATGTGTTTACCCTTTAGTGGGCAGGAGTCTCAGCACGTTTGGAGTCCTATGCAGCAAGCAAAGCTTGTCATCAAGCTCTCAGTGTGGTCACTGCAAACAAAGGGGTTGAACCTGGAGTTAAAGCTCTTAGAATATCACAAGAAAATATTCTGTTTGTTATTTCCATGGCAAGCAGGGAGCAAGGTCAGCCAGCTTCACTGGAGGAGTCTGTTCTTGTGATATGTTTTCATTGTGGCCTTGTAGCCATCAGTGGTAGGACTTAAATAACATAATTTGTAAGACCTATAGGAAGGCCTTTACCTGATCTGCTGCCTTTGTACCCCAGCAAAGCCCTTTGAAGTTCTTCTCAGGTGCCGTTGGTTAGACCTAATGGAGGTGCCTGTGTTTCGATGAGAGCTTTTACCACTTAGTGTAGTTTCTCCCCAGGACCACAAAAAGTGGCAAGATGATGTGTTCAGATGTATCTACCTGCATTATAGACATATGCCTGGAGGAATTTCCCCCACAAGATGCCTAGGATAGTGCCTGCATGCTGAGGTTCTCCAGAAATGTGCCTGTAAGAGCACATCCTTTTCTCTTTCTCACTAACATTGTGAACTCAGTTGGCCTGAATTGACCCCTGGATCCACTGTTTAGGGAAACTCCAATCCAGCTGTGAAATCTGTGACATGGGGCAGGCCTTGAGCACATTGGAACTGTTTTCATATTCATTAAAAACACCGACAGCTGCTTAAAAAGCTCAGCACAGCTACTTACCAGAGTCAAGTAGTATCTTGCCTTATGAGCAACTCCATTAATGGGACCTGCTTAAATGAAACTCCTAGAGGACTGAGATACTGTGTGCAGCAACATAACTAGGCAAGGATACTAAAATTGGGATAGATCCTTTTCTTTTTACTTTTTGAAGAGTATGCTTAGTTATTACTGTGGTGAGAAACAGGCAACATTGCAGCTGATAGTCCTTGAACACACCACCCTCAGCTTTAAAGGTCCGTGATTGCAGAGCACTGGAACATTACTCTGCAGCTCAACTGGCTTTAGAGGCTGTGACTGTGAAAGCCATCTACTTCAGAAGCTACATGGGAGTGAGTTGTTTTTGTCCCCAGTGGTAAGGCAGTGGTAGCTTCGTGGAGATGTCTTCTTTTTTTTGTCTGCTGGGAGGCAGGACCTAGGGAGCTGAGCTACCCAGCATTGTCCTTTAATCAATTCAAGGAAGGGAGGAAGTGTGGTGATTGCATGTGGACAAGGTTCCTTGGCTGGTGCAAATTGGTCTAGTGTGTCACAGTGCACAGACCCCTTTGTGCAGGTTGTGGTCCTACTCTCTTCGTATATCTTGTACTCATTGTTTCTCCATCAGGAGAGGTATCAGAAATAGAGAGGCTTATCATACCATGTCCCTCCCAGGAAGCTGAGTGGTTCTGCACAGATGTGTCAATGCCAGCAGAAGACTTTTGTGTGCTTGGAAGATGCCTTCACCCTGTTTCAGGCTATTCTGTAGGAAATTCTTGGCTACTTTTTAATCCATCCCTCATTTTGTCATTGTAATGAAAAGGCAATTTTTTTTCATGGTGCTATTTTTTTTCACGGGGCTATATCAGTTTGTTTTACTGTTGATTCCCATAGCTTAAGCAAACCCATTTGTCAGTAGGATATAAGCAATAATCATAGAAGTCTTGGGGTGCATTTAGTGAAGCTGCTGGCAATTCTCCCACTGACTTCAACAAGACCCAGCTCCATTAACACCAGTATTAACAATGACTAATATTTCACATTTATACGGTGCCTTTCATCCCGTGGCATCCCAGAGTGCCTTCTAAGATACAGCCAGCCTGGAAGATTAACCCAACATTGTAATGGCTGTGTCTGAAGGATAAATCCTCTTCCGTGACAGGACCTTATTGAGGTCAATGGCAAAATCCCATTGTCTTCAGTCAGAGCAAGATCAGACTCATAATGTCTAAGGCTATCCCCTGGATTTGGTCTGTTGAATGTGAGGTTCTTGTCCTTGTTATTTTAGTCCTTTGTAGAAGTGGGATGAGCCTTCACTCACTTCAGGGATGGGTGGGAGTGTACCTTGCTGGAGTTGCACAGCAGACTGACCTATGCCCATAGAAATGAGTGAGTTGCAATTGTTTTTCGGAGAAGTCCCCAGAAAAAGCCTCTTTCACAACAACCTAAAGCAGGGATATGTGTCCCAAGAGCAGGTCAGCTGGAATTTTACATGTGATAAAACAAAGCGCATAATTCCTGCCCATAATTAATTGGCTCCGTCTGAAATTTATGAATTTCATATACATGCATTGGACTGGTTTAATTTTAATTTAGCATGTGTTTGTCATTTTTATCACAATGAATTTTCATGGAGAAGGTCTTCCCTCAGGGTCTTTTGTTTCTTTACCCTAGGAACAGCAATGGGTCCGTGGCTTTGATGTTTTGGGGACCACTTTAACTCTGCTGTGGCTGGTTTTTGAAATCACTGAAAATATTTTCTAGCTTGCTGCTGTGACTGTGCTGCTCTCACACCTCCTGACATTTGCCTGAGTCCTTATCTGTTTGGCGCTTGAGTCAGGTATCTGCTTTGTGAGAACACACAAACCAGGATGATGTGTTTGGGTAGCATCTCTGACCCCATTTGCAGGGCTGGCCATGGCTTTCTCACCATTTGGGCAAAACTGGTATTCTCACCCTTTAGATTCACATAAAATCATGGCCTGGGCCAACCTGTTCTTTGTGATTGAGTGAAACATGAGAGATGTTGGTTTGAGGAAATTGTCGTTGTCCTGCACAATACCTTGCTACACAGGACCAGGACCCCATGCTTGCTCTAGGAGCCAGCACAGCCCCAGTCCCAGCACCAGACTGTCATTGCTTTGCCACTGCCAACTCCTGAGCTTGCAACTTTGCTGCTTCACCTGGAAGTCAATTCTGTCTGCCCCTGATCCTTAATGTCATGATGCAACTCCTCATTAGGACCTGGAGATCCTGGGGCTCATGTGTGCCTCCCAAAATCTGAGCTGGATTCTTCAGGTGTCAAGACTTCCAGGTCTCCTCTAGCTTTGCTGAGTGGTAGGGCTCACTTGGGGCTTCCTCCTGGCTTTGAACCTGGCCAACATGTCACTTCTGGCTAACTTAAAACAGGTCAGACAAAGCTTTCCCCTCCCAGCCATCCAGCTGGAGCAATGGGCCTTTCTTGCCTGTGTATCCCCAATCCCTCAGCAAGGACAGGAAGCCAGGGAGATGAGTGATGTCGTATTTAAAGCACATGACATTTGAGGTTTTTGCTTGTTGCTCCCCCAGGGCTGCTGTTGGGCTGCACATGGGCAAATTCCTCCTTCCTACCTTTAGCTGCTGGCAAGCAGGACTACTCCCTCTGGCTCCGTTTATCCAGAGGTAGAGGAATCAGCCTTTTATTTGCCCATTTTTCGGATGCAGTGAAGTTTTGGATCACTGCTGGTCCTGAGAGCCTGAGGTCACTAATTCAGGCTGCGATGACGAACTTTGGGATGCCCAAACCCCAGCTGATAAGCCTGGTCCTTCTTCTTCCTATGCCTCTATCCCCATATGTAACAGGGAGCTATTGTATCCCTGCCTCCCCAGGGAGAGAAACCCGTGAATGATTCCCATGCTGCAGGGAAAGGCACCAGGCTGTCGCTGATAAGCTAGACATGAAACTTTGCTGTGATCTAGAAGAAGGGAGTGCTTTGTCCTTTGCACTGATTTGAGGTCTTAGAATGAAGATCTGCTCAGGACCTTTGCAGGAACCTCTTTTTACTGTCCTTCACCAGGGTTGAGGCAGTAGATCCCAGTGGATAGCAGATGCACTTTTCTCCCCTTTTTCCCCTTTCACAGAATATCCATCAGCACTGTCATGTACGCACATTTATGATGAAAAGTGGTCAGCCCTGGGGTGATTTGAAGTGTTCTCCTACCTTCTGCTATGAGTGAAATTCTGCAGAGGGCAAGACAAATATAAGTCCTCATGTAGGCTCCCAAGTTCTGATTTTTAGGGAGGTTTATGGGTATTAGATGCATAAATCCCTTCCCAGGAGTGACTTTTTGGGGCTTTCCTGGCACTTGTGTTAATGCACATTGTGATACAGGCTCTTAATGCAGGACCAGGAGTTTCTTACAGGTGGTTTGACCGACCATTTGCTACCATTCACCAACCCTGATGGGTGTACAGGTGGTCATTGCTGCTGTGTATTTCCATGCAGAAGAGTATAATGCTTAGGTCTGCTACAGAAATATTTGCATGCAAGTAGAAAATACTCTATCTGCCAGCACAGATACAAAAAATAAAACAACCCAAACCCCACCCTACAATACTTTAGCAGTAAAACCTTGTGGGTTAAAGCAAACCTGAAAGGATGGCCAGGGCTAAATCTTTCCAAAGAGGAAAAATAAGACAAACATTGTGGCTTTTGTGATGATGTTGACCAGCTCCTTCTTACCACTGTGAAAGTTTGAGACCCCTCATAGCACTGAAATCCCAGCAGCTGTTGCCTCTAATGGTTTCAGATCAGTCAGGAAGCCTCGGGGTGAGCCGGTGTCTGCAGGGACTATTTCAAGGTGATAATGATTGGTTTTGTTCCTAAACATGGTGCAATTACCTATTGTGCAGATAGCTGAAATTTTTCAGCCAGTAGGAGTTACTTGGGTATGTTTTGCACCCGTGAGGCTCTGCCAGCCATCTTCTGTCCTCTTGTCTTCAGAAATTTCAACTGAACTTGGGATTTCCTGGTGGGATGTGGATTTTGGAATGGAAGGGGAGGGGTTGTGTAGCCGTGCAGATGGGGTGTGCAAAGGGAAGAGGGGAGCTGCTGGGTGTCCAGCTGGTCATGGCCACATCCCCAGGACTGCCTGGGCATGGAGGACACCAATCCCATTGTGATTTTGGGAAGAAGGGACGGAAGCACCAAAAAAAATAACGGATTTTTGTTTAGATTAACAGACCCCTGACTATGAAGAAAGAAGGAATCCAGACCAGAAACCGAAAGATGTCTAGCAAATCCAAAAAGTGCAAAAAGGTCCACGACAACCTGGAAGACTTCCCCAAGAGCAGCTCTTTTAACCCCGCCGCCCTCTCCAGACACATGTCCTCCATCAGCCACATTTCACCTTTCAGTCACTCCAGCCACATGCTGACCACACCGACACCGATGCATCCTCCATCCAGCCTCTCCTTTGGACCTCACCATCCTTCCAGTATGGTCACTGCCATGGGTTAGCAAGAGACTCCCCTGCTGAATGCTTACGGTCTCAAAATGAGATTTACTTTATATACTTGCATTTTTGCAGGCGTGTGGTTTTATGGGTCTGACGTCCCAAATTGAATGGGGGGGAGAAGGGGAAAAGAATTAAAAATTAAATAAAAAACGTTATTTGAAGGCGTAAGAAAGAGAGAAAATAAAAAATAAAAAAAACTCAGAAAAAAAAACTACAAAAAGCACAAAAAAAAAGAAAAAAAAAGAAAAAAAAGAGAAAAAAAAGTTAAAAAAAAAAAAGGTTTAAAAAAGTGATGTTTGCCACTTTTTAAAGGAACTCACTATGGCGTCTATGTATTCTTACCCACTGAATCTGGATACCATTTGTGAATAAGCCATTCAGAACTTGCATTCCCTATTGGACAGGATCTCTAGTGCTGTGAAAAAAAAAAAGAATAAAAATAAAAATAAAAATAACGCTGAACATTGCATATAACTTATATTGTAAGAAATACTGTACATTTGAGGAAGACTTTATTGCATCTGAGGAGCTGTAAAGAAAAAAAGAAAAAGGCATGAAGGACTCCGAGAGATTTTCTTTTTTTTTTTTTTAAAGGAAAAGAAAAAAAAAAAAAAGAGGAGGGGAGGACAATTTAAAAACCAGAAAAACAAACAATGCAGACCAAGAGGAAACGTGGTCTTACGAACAAATGGACCAACTGCCAGTCATGTCTTCTCCTTTTATTTTATTTTATTTTATTTTAATTTTCTTTTTTTTTTTTGGTCGTTGTTGTTGGTTTCTTTTTCGTTTCCGGGGGAGGGGGAGGGGGCTGGCTAGAATGGTTTGGATGATGCATTAACTAACTAACGAACTAAATAATTAAAGAAATAAAACCTGTTAGGGAGATCATTCATTTTTGGGGGCCAGGGGTCCCTTTTACATAGGAAGTACCAATGGTGTCAGGCAACCAGTGTTACCATGCGGACATTGCCAACGAGGGGGTTTCAGCCATTCTCCAGGTCTATACGCATTGTGAACAAGTTCCTGTAATTGTTGTTTGTATGTATAATTCAACGCACCAAAATAAGAAAGATGTAGATTTATTTCATCTTATTATACAGACTGAATGGTTGTACAAATTTATTTACTGCTAGTGCTAAGACCTGCTTTTTTTTTGTGTTTTTTTTTTTCCTCCATATTTTTTTCCTCCTTTTTTTTTTTTTTTTTTGAGAATAAACTAGATTAAATTCTGTTGACTTACAAGTGTGTTGTGCTTGGGGGTGGGAAAGTGAGTATGTTCTTTTCTCTATTCATTTTTTCTTTTAAAATTTGTTTGGATGGTATTTATTATGTTGTTACCATGGGTATGGGAACGTGTGTCTCTGCTCTCTTGCTGACAGCCAACCCAGTGTTTGTGGTGGCTTGGTTAAAAAAAAAACCACAATAGCAACAAAACCAACATAGAACGAAGTTAAAAACCCTCAGAAATAAATGGACTGTAAATTAGTGAAACCCCTCTGTCCAGTGTGTGCTCCCTGTCCCTGGAACTGCAACCCAACAACTGCCCCCACCTGCCAACGGGTCCCATGTGGGATGGGTCCCTTTTGGTCTCAGTCAACTACGGCCACCACAGTGACAAACCTGTGTTGATGACAATTTGGGAATGGGGTAAATGCAAAGGTATGGCAGGGTCCTTATGGTCTTGCCTGCTTTTTGGGCAGTACTAGGAAAGACTCTGAGACTTTGGACAGGAGCTGGAGTAGCTCTTTCTGCTCTGCCCTGTTGGGTGCTCAGTGGTTTAATTTTATGATCAACAGTCAAGGTCTTGATGAGAGATCAAGGTGCACCAAATCCTCTCCCTGTGCTTGGAGGAATTATCAGAACCTGATACAAAAGGCTGGATTTAATGGTAGACAAAGGACACTTCCCAAAAGTTCAAAGACTGATGTCAGCCCCTTTCTGCAGGAGATTGATTTACAATAATGCCGTATATATTAATATTATTAACAATAAATTTTGTCTCTTAAAATTTGATTTCTGATGGTTTAATCCTTAAGAATCATCCTCCTTTTAGTCTTCAGTATTTACTCTTGCAGATTCTTTATAGCATCATAAAGCTTGGGAATTTACTTTCCAAATGAAGGGTTAAACTTCTTATCAGGCCACTGTTTGTTGGAGGTTTAAGCGTGGTGTGATAGGACAGAGGCTGCCAGGGCTGTGAGAAAATGCTTAAAAAACTCAAACCAAACAAACACAAAACAACACTCAAACTTAAAAACCTCAACAGACATGACTTGCAAACTAATTTAATACAAAAATAGATGTATTCCTGCCTTTCAGTGACATAGGGCTGGAAAAATAACACCATATCTGTCAGATGCTATTTTGAACCCACTTTCCCTTGGGTAATAACAAGAGAGTGACAGTGACCTGGTCTAATCTTCTTCTTCAGGATGGCTCACATGAGTAAGGATGTCTCATATAAGAAAGACCACTTCAAAACTTTCAGGAAAATTATACAGAGGTCAAATAGTAATTTGATTTGGGAATGAGGGAGGGGCAGAAGAGGACTGACCTTTATTCAGGCTTTTTCTCCCCTGTTTCAAAATTAACCTGGTTCAACTGTGTCTATGAAGGAGGATTTAGCAGATGTAAGCAGAACAGGCAGTAAGTGTTTTGTAATGTTGCATATTCTTTCCTTTCTTCTCTGTTGACAAAACTGTAAAAAAAAGTCAGAACAAGTGGCACACATTTAAAATCTTATGTTAATCACCTACCTGCTTTCTCAATGAGTATTTTAAGCATAGAAACTAAATGTGGAAATAAAACAGAGTGAAGAATTACTGAGATGCAAATAGAGATCTTGTTGGTTCCTAATTAATAATCTGTGAACTATAAAGCTATTTTCAATTAGTTTGAAAAATCAAAGGAAATAATAATCTTTGCTGATATTATGCTTGAGAGACTATTATTTTTAAATTTGTGATGCTACAACCTTTCTCTCCTTTCACTCATCAACAAATTGCAGTTGGACTGAGATATTGATGCCAGGACCTCAGCAATTGGGAAAATAAAAAGAGGATTCCCAAGGCAGGATTTTGCACTCGTGTATTATTCTGTTTGAATCTTTCCCTTTGCTCAGGGGGAACTGGCTCCTGAGTTTCACTCTAATCTTTTTTTTTCCCTTTAAAATTGGAAACATCTTCTTGCAGTTTCCTTCTGATGTTTCATAGGTCTTAGGGGCATTGAGTGAGATGAAGCAGGATTTGGGCCAGCTCAGGGAATGAGTATCCTGGAAAGGACACACGTACTCTAGGAAACATATACAGTTTGTCTAGAGAGCTCTTATATAAATTATCTTATATTCTGATGCCAGGAGCAGGATGAATAGGATGTCTCACATCACATACCCCCTCGTTACAGCCTGAGGTGCTAAATTAACATCAGTGGTCTGCTAGTTTCTCACTTATGGATTCTTTTTTTTTCCCCTTTTGTTATTCCAGAGCAAATATTCCAGAATTTTAATGTATTGAAGAGTTTTGTTTGCTTTGCCTGTTTGCTTGGTGGTAGGTTGTTTTTTTTCTTTTTAAAATTCACTTTTATTTTGTTTTGTTTTTTTTTCTTTCCCTTTAACACATGGGGAAATAAGCTGGTTCACAGAAAAGGCCAAGAGCTGTTTTCCTGGGCAAACATCTTGTGAATGGCAGTTCTGCTTTTCTTCATTGCTGAAATTGCAAGGAAGAGCTGATGATTGGCAGGTTGCAACAGTAAAGCTCTCGGAGTCACAGTTCTACTTTGATAATCTATATTGCATAGAAAACCCCATGGAAGTCATTAGTGGGGTCAGATCCTGTGGGGTTTTTCTGCAGGCAAAATGCCTTCTGTGAATTTGAGTGAGTAGTAGCTGCTGTGCTGCTGTGATGGTGGTAACTATATTTCACCCATGATCCAAGAAAAAGTCTGTTGGCATCCTAATGAGTAATGCAACAAGACTTGAATCAGGACCTCCTAAGTATTAATTTCAGTGTTATCACACTGATTTATGTGTCTTAGCTAACTTTTTTTCAGCTGTACTGTTCCTGTGTCAGTAAGCATATGTGCACAGAGACACAGGGGCAATAATGAAGGGACCTTTTGAAGATGCTTCAAGATTAAAAAAATGAGAAGTGCTGTAATTGACACAATCTGCAAAACCTCAGTTATTTTTTCCTATGAATTTGAATGACAAGTCGTTTTAAGATGCATCTAGACCTGCGTTTATGTTCAGATTAACAGTGTGTTTTTGAAGTCTTTTCCCTATAGTCTTACTTCAGGGTTATGAGATTTTACTTTGGCTCACCCAACATGTATTCCTTGCTACTATACTAATGGGAACTCAGACTAAAACTACCCTGAACCAACCTTCCAGGACACAGTCTTTGGGTCCACAGCAGAGACTGGTTTTCCCTCTGGAGTTACTCTTATTGCTAATGCACACATTGCCACAAACCACATCTTCTCAGACTACTTCTTGGACAGAGACACTCCTGATTCACTCCGGGCTTGTTGTAGTCTGGTGAAGAATTCAGGTGGTTAATGAAGGGACTAGAGGGAACCTATCTTTTATTTTTCTTCAGTGTTAGGGATGTTTTTTGGATAAGAGACCAGAAGACATTCTTATGGAAAAAAGCCCATAAGCTACACCTTGAAAAATGTCATGTTTATCCCTGCTTCTTTCATAGAGGTTCTATATGGCATTGGGAAACCAAACCCAGTCTTGTCACATGAGGACAGCCACTAAAAGTGTGATCCTCCCTTTTGGGGATGCTTAGTTTCACACCTTGAGTTCTGGTTTGCAGAAATGTTCATTGCTCTCCATGGTATTTGAAGCCAGGGGTTCTTATACCTGCCTAATAGCAAATTCTTTAAAAATACAGGCTTTATCTCAACCTGAAATACAAATAAACGTTTTTTATTTCACTTTCTTCCATTCCCAAATCTGGAGAACAGATAGTAACTCCTTCTCTCCTCAAGGATGTGTTGGGAAGATAAATCCATCACTGTGAAGTGATTGGATGCAGGTTGATGAGCACCATGGAGAACCCATCAGCTTCAGCAGGTCTGCAGGAAGAAAGATGTGAGGAGTAAGCAAAATACAGGTTCACTGGTCAGGAAGGGCAATGTCCTCCCTGTGCCCTGAATTAGGCAAAGGAGAAAAACCTGGTGTGATTGTCATAGGTAGAAGGAACAATGGAGGTGGAGAGAGTCTCAC